TTCTTGGTGATTGGTTTGATCAATTTTGAAGTTTGGGATGGTAAAGGTAGTTTTTCTTTGCTCTGTTTCTTTAGCTTCTTGCTTTGTTTGGTTGCTGAGAAAATATTTCTGATCCCCTTTTGTTTTTGTTTGGTTGCTGAGAAAATTTTGCTTTGTTTGTTTTCGTTTGGCCTTCGGGAACTCAACTGAAACTGGAAAAGGAAAACAATTTTTCATGTGGGCCCCACAAAAATTGAATCAGAAAAGGGAGAGCAATTTGACGTGGAAAAAAATGCCACCGTAGCAAAATTTTGTTAGCTGGATTTACACGTCATTAAAATTCAAAAAAAGCAGTGATTTTGCTGGCAAGTTAACGTGACACCTGTCATTTAACTGACGGAAGGACCATTTTGGTACCAAAAATGAAAGTTTAAGGATAATTTTGGTACTTTTTAAAGTTGAGGGACAATTTTGGTACCAAAGTGTAAAGTTGAGGGATCAAAATGGTACTTAAACCTATTTTTTTTTGGTAATAAGAAGATATTATAACAAGCTAACAAAATAGTTACAATTTGGGGTAGCAAACTCCTATACGATCAGCCATACACAACAGGTCCACAACAGGTCCACATCCGGTGGACAATTAACCAAAATGTGAAAACTATGAGGGGCCATAGCTCCTTTTTTAGCAACAGCGCAAGCATTCATGTTGCTTTCCCTCATCACATGTTTGAGTTGAACTTGGGGAATGCTGCGCAAAAGGTCCCTGCAATCCATTAACAGCGTGCTGTGAGGACGAAAAGGATTATGATCTTTAGATAAAAGAGCATAAGCAACCTGAAAGTTAGTCTCCAAGATAACATTCTACAGTTGAAGGTTTTTAGCAATAAATAGACCATTCCTAATAGCCCAAAGTTCAGCAGCCAGGGCAGTAGTGTAACCAATATTTCTCAAAAAACCAACAACCCACAGACCCATAGAATCTCTTAGAATTCCCACACAGCCAGCATAACCTAGATTCTCAACTGTAGAACCGTCAGTATTAATTTTAAACAAGAGGGAGGGTGGTGGTTCCCAGGAGATGAGCCTAAGGTATTGTTTATGTGCAGCACTAGAAATAGGAGCAGGTGCCCAATATTCAGAGGCCCTTTCAATAATTAAGTCATGAATCCTTTGAATGTCCACAGATTGATGACAGTACAAAAAATGGTTCCTTTGATTCCAAAGAACCCAAATAGCAAAGGAAAATATAACAGCCCAAGGAATGTTGAAAAAAGGGCTAAGAGAACTGTTGTGAGAATGCTCAAACAGCTAATGCCTAAAGTTCATAGCATTATGGCTGTTAGCAAAAGCATGAGATAATTTATTGAAAACAGCAACAGCATGAGGACAATCTCTAAAAACGTGATCAATAGACTCCGTTTGTCTCCTACATATCATGCATGTCGGATTATCAACAATGCTAAGATGATGGAGATACTCAAGAGTTTTTATTTTACCATGAGCAAGCAACCACAAGAACATTTGGATTTTTGGGAGGGTTGGGGTTTTCCAAATCCACTTCCAATTCCAATTATCATTCACCTGGCAATCCTTAGAAGTAAGGATTTTGTGGGCCGAAGAAGAAGAGAAGATACCATTGGATTCTTCCTTCCAAGAAAAAATATCAGAATCAGAATGATAGTTTAACATGGGAACAGCAAGGATTTGCATACTCAATTCTTGGGGAATATGATACCCAATGGTATCAAAATCAAGAACACCCTCTTGGAAAACATCCATAAGAAGGATCTTAGAGGTGTTTCTATCAAAGGGACCAAATAAAATAGAATCAAGAGATGCTTTCCCGACCCAGTGATCGGTCCAAAAGTGAATCGAGAGACCATTACGAGGGACCCATTTAATACCGGAAGTAAAAAGTGGAGTACCTTTAGATAAATTTTTAAGAACTGGAGAGGCAGAAGAGGAAGGAGCAAAACGGAGGTCATTGATGTTGTATTTCTTAACCAACACCTCTCTCCACATTTTGTCCTTTTCTGTGTGAATTCTCCAGTTGAGTTTGCTCATAGCAACAGTGTTAGCATTACGAGCAGAACGAATTCCAAGGCCACCATGAGATTTGGGTTTGCAGATAGTATCCCAATCCACAAGATGAATCTTGCGTTGGTCAACAACAGAACCCCATAAAAAATTCCTAGAAATTTTGTCAATTTCTTTATGGACAGAAGAGGGAAGCCACATCACCTGCATGAAGTAATTTGGAATGGAGGCAAGAACAGATGACACAAGAGTGGCTCTACCAGCCATGGAAAAAAATTTAGTTTTTCATCTTGAAAGCTTTGAGCGGATTTTCTCAAGGATAAATTCACAATTAATCTTAGAGCATCTCTTAGCCACAATAGGGAAGCCTAGGTACTTGCCAAGCTCATTCGTCTGCTGGTATCCCAAGCTTTGACTAATGTTGTCTCTAGTGATTTGATCAACATTTTTTGAAAATAAAATCTTAGATTTAGCATTGTTGACCATTTGCCCAGACCGAGAACAGAAGAAATCTAGAGTATCCTTAAGATATTGTGCGTTGGTAAGAGTAGCTTTTCCTACAAAAACTAAGTCATCAGCGAAAAACATATGAGATAAAGTAGGACCACGCTTACCCGCCTTAGAACCCTTCCATTTGCCTTCAGCCATATCATTGGAAAGTTTGATAGAAAGGTATTCCATGCACAGGATGAACAAGTAAGGTGAGATAGGATCACCCTGACGGATGCCTCTAGAAGGAAGAAAAGCATCAGTTTTATTCCCATTAACCAAAATTGAAATAGAAGAAGAGGAAACACAACTCATAACAAGAGATATGAATTTTGGTGGGAACTTGAAGAAAGTTAAGGCTTCTCTAATGAAGCTCCATTCAAGCCTGTCATAGGCCTTTTCGAGATCAAGTTTAACCACCATATCACCCACCCGACCTTTTCTCTTAGAAAAGGAATGAACAAGCTCCTGCAGGATGAGCACATTATCAATACCATTTCTACCAGGAACAAAGCTAGCCTGGCAAGGAGATATCAAATCATCTAAAGCAGGTTTCATCTTATTCACAATAATCTTGGAGATAATTTTATAGGTAGCGTTACATAGACCAATAGGACGAAACTGCTGAACTGTTTCAGTAGCTTTAGTTTTGGGAATAAGAGTAATTAAACACTCATTCCAATTAGCAAGGAGAGAAGCCGAGGAGAAAGTGTTGTGAATGTCACTACACAAAATACTCCTAACTGAATCCCACATTTTCTGGAAGAAACCAGGATGAAGACCATCAGGTCCAGGAGCCTTGAAAAGCTTAAGACCAAAAAGAGCATTATGTATCTCTTCATCAGAAGGAGGGTTGTCCAGAAAACTTAAGTCATGGGATTCCGAGATACCAACTCCCAGATTAGAGAAGGAATCATGATAAGAGAAATCAAGAGAAGAGGTAAAGAGATGCATAAAATGATTTCTGATAAGATCAACAATAGCCTGCTGATCACAAATCCAATCCTCCTCCGAGGTACGAAGGCAGAAGATTCTATTATGATTCCGATGCTTAATGGTAGATAAATGGAAGAATTTGGAATTACGGTCCCCATCAACAATCCAGTTAGACCTGGATTTCATAAACCATAAATCTTCCTCCAATTTCAAGACCTTCACATATTCAAGAGTAAGCTCCTTCTCTAAAGAAGTAAGAAAACTGGAAGGATTTCGTGAAAGGGAATGATGAATGCCTTCAAGTCTAGCATTGAGAATCCGCTTCTTAACAAAAATATTGTCAAAAGTGGTTATACTCCAAATTCTACAAGAAGTTTGGGTTTTTTGAATACATTGCGACGTGCCCAAATTTTGAGTAGACCAGATAGGAGAGATTAGATCATGAAACTCAAAATGATCTAACCAAAATTTCTCCAATCTGAAGGGCCTATTCCCACTCCTAATCAATGGGGTATCAAGATAGAGGAGAAGTGGGTTATGATCAGAGCTAATATGAGGGAGATGAAGGAGCTTTGAATCAGGAAATTGAAGACGCCAATCAAGGTTAGCCTAAGCCTTGTCTAGACGTTCCCTAATGACATGATTATTTTCCCTCATATTAACCCAAGTAAACCTACCCCCTGTGTACCCAATATCCATAAAGTTACAGTCACTCATACAGTCAGAATAAGCACAAACATGGGATTGACTAATAAGAGCACCCCCAAATTTATCAACCTGATCCACAACATCATTAAAGTCTCCATCACAAGCTAAGGCCCATTGAAATATTTTGCAACCTCACGCAGTTCATCCCATAAGTGAGATCTAAGCTCAAATTGGGTTCTACCATAAACACCAGAAAGAAACCAGTGAAATTTAGAAAAGATGGGGTGAGAGCGTACCTGGACAATTGCGTGGATTGCTTGAAAAGTTGAGGTGACGACATCGACACACACTTCATTATCATCCCACAATAACCAGAGACCACCAGCCTTACCATCTGAATCAACTACATGGCTACAAGGATATCCACATTCAGCCACAGCTTTCCTAGCATCCTGGCCAGAGAGCTTTGTTTCAAGAATCAGCATAATTGAGGGAGAATGTTGATTCTTCAAATTTCTCATGCGCCTATTGAACTCCATTTTAGCCGCACCGCGACAATTCCAAGAGAGCATCTTCATTGACCAACAATAGGAGTTTGAGAGACCCAAGGCTAACTTAGCTAGAGCCTGGTCGAACAACGATTCCTGAGTTTCCCTGTGCAACAGCATCATTTTGGCCCCCGAAAAGTGACACGGAAGCATCAGGCATTCGTAATCCATCTCCTCCGTCCCCAGCAATATTGAGGACTTGATGATAACATGGATTGTCTCCATCTTGCCCATCATATCGGAGATTTGGAGATGTTCCTGCCATGCTTGGGCTAGAAATTTCAGAGGTTGGGTAGGGCCCTTTATCTCTTCTATGCTTGCTCCTTCGGTAGTGAACTCTAGCTTTTGAGTACTGCATTGATCTACCATAGCTATCGAATCTTCCTTCAAAGCTGGCACTGAGCTTAGAAAAGAAAAAGGATCTATGGATTTGAGAGTTAGGAGAGGACTGCGCCAAGCCTTGAATAGATCCCTCTCCTTCCATATCGGGTGTATTTTCTCCTCCCTTGATAATAACAGCTCTAAGGCTTCCTTCAATGAAATCACATTGTTGTTGTTGACTAGTAGGACTTTCAAATTGGGGCTGAGCTGGGGAATTGGTGAAGCTGCTACTGGATCGCTCATTTCTTATATCTGAAGAAGATTTTGGGAGAATAGAGGAAATTGAAGGTGCAGAAGTAAAGTTGGAACTTGATTCCAGATTTTTAATTCTTTCTTTAACAGTGAGCAACGCAGCTTCAAGGCTTGCTGGAGCATTGGAAAAAAGTTTACAAGGCCAAGACATTAGGCTAGAGATGGTCTCTGTTGGAATAAAGGCCTTTGTTGGGTTGTTGCTTTGGCCCACATTCCCGCTTGTGCCAAAATCTTCATTTGTTGTCTTGGGTGAGGCCCCAATCTCTTTCCCACTAGGTGCAGAACTTCTGGATATAGAATCCCTCTTTGGGCCTGTATCCATATGGCTAGACGTAGAGTTCGTAACGGTTGATTTTAGAACCGTTTGTTTAGCAGGTTTGAATTGAGTTTTCACATTAAATGCTCCTGCAGGTGTACCGTTAGTTCTACCAACCTTGACTAAATTGTAACCCATTTGGTTCATCAAACTTGATCTTTGGTTCGATTCTGTGGGGCCCTTAGAAACCTTGGGCCCGTTGCTTTTGCCTTCTGATGAAGATTCCGGCACCTATTTCTGGGTTTTCTTCTTTTTTTTTCGCTCCACAATAAGCCAAGGACCAAATTCATCAAATTGATTTTCCCGAATATGCCTAGGCTCTGCAGTGTAGTTAGGGACATGATTGTTGCTAGCACTTTGGATGCCTCCTGCCCCTTCTGTGGAGGTTGAAGCCTCCGGCTTGTGACAACCCGTGACATTGATTTCAGCATCTTCATTAAAGTTTGCTTGGTTCTGGAGATCCAAATTGATGACACTAGCAGTTGCAGATGGCCTAGACTGAAAGGTACAAACCTCTTTGCGATGGCCAATTCGACCACACGCAAAGCAAAGTCCCCTAATCCCTTCATAAACAACTTTCTGACGAATTTTGCCCAATCTGAGAAGCTTTACAAGGGGTTTATTCAAATCTATTCTAACACACACACGACCATATTGTCCACGTGTATGGTGTGCTATATGGGCATCAACACGGAGAAGAGTTTCGATTTCGTTGCCAATACGTTGCAAGGAGATTTTGTCATAGTATTCTGCTGAAAGGCCTGGCAACTGTGCCCAGACCACTGTGTGCGAGAAAGTGGCATTTTCAGGCTTAAAATTTGGTTCCCATGGTCTGATAGTGAGGTAGTTTGTACCAATGAACCAGGGGCCACCATTGATGACCTTACTGAGATCTTCGTGTACCTGAAAACGAACAAGAAAAAAGTCATATCCTAAATCAATGCAATCCCATTTACCTGCTGGTTTCCATTGGGCTTTGAGACTCCCGTAAAGGAAATTATAACCCACTGGCTTGCCAAAGGTTTTCACAATAAGAGCATTTTTCCATGGTTCGCGCATGCGTCTTTTTTCCTCTTTGGAGAAGAGGATTATTGGCGTCGGGTCATCTGGATCATCGTCGATATCCGAGTCTTCATCAAGATATTCGGGAATGGCATCAAAAGAAAGGTCCTCATCGAGAGTTTCGAAAGAGCCATCGTAGATCAGTTTGTCTCTATAGGACTGGGGATTGGCTGCAGCTTCCGCCATATGCTCTTCTCTAGATGGAGCAATAGCAATTAGATTAACATTCTTGATCCTTTTCACACTTCGATCAAGCTGATCCTTCTCTTGAGGAGAGCGAAAAGTTAGAGAGAGAACATTTGAGTTCGCCATATTTGTACCAAAGATTAATCATGTTGTATTTTGCTACTTGCTGTTTAATACTTTAATCTAATCTCCTTATTTTCCTACAAAACAAAAACACGGAAGGATGAAAGACTCTCATCCAATTGGCTTGACTTACAGTACAACGATTCTCAAAGTTTCAACTGTGCCATACACTAAGGTGTGTTTGGGTTGTTGTTAATCGTTGTAATTATAATTGTGATTATGATTATATTAAATTACATTGTGTTATAATTATGATTAAAAATTAATTTAATATTTAATTATTTATTTTTTAAAAATATTATACATGAAATATGATAGATTTTATTAATTATTAATTAAAATTTAAAAAATATTAAAAAATATATAATTATTAAAATAAATAATATTTATTATTTTTTAATAATTTAAGTTTTTTAAATTTATTATCATTATTAAAATATTATAAATTGTGATATAATTAAATTATATGAAGTTGAGTTTTTTTAATAAATAATTTTATAATTATATTAAATATTAGATACGTTTTATAAAAACCAAAATCAAAAATTTTCAAAATTAAGTTTTTGATTTTTTATATAAAATTATTATAAACTTATCGTGACTTGCTATAGTTAAAAAAACAATTTAAAAAAATATTACTAATCACAATGTATATCTAAAATTATTATATAATTATACAAAAAAAAACTTCCAATCACAATACTAAAAGTACCCTAGGACTTTTGGCTTTTTAACCTGTTCCATAATTTACGATGGTCATTTCGTTAGCTTATTGTAAGTTTTTTTTTTTCTTTAATTGGATGGTAAGTTATTCAATACCACTATGATCGTGGTCACATAGATTTGTATTAAGTTTA